GAAAGTCGTCTTCTAATCATAGGACTTATAGTAAGCATTGCGATCAACCTACTAGTAATTACTGAACTTACGACCTCTGACCTCTTGGTCACTTGAATCAGGTCGTGTGTAATGAGCTTATAAAGTGACCCTAACACTCATCGTGAGTACAAAACGGCTTTCTAAGGCTTTTCTATTTGTAGAATTATTTTACAACGGATTCCTTTAAACGGTTTTAATTATTTCTTCAATAGGGAGTTGGATCGAAAAAAATACTCGTATGATCTCCTTTAAGGATTCAACTAATGCTATAACTACTCAGACCCTGGGTGTGAGAAGGGCGGGGGGGGGGGGGGGGGGGGGGNGGGTTGCAATTTATTATCTTAAAAGAAGGTCGAGGAATTGCGAAAACAAATTTATCTATCTTAGGAGAGGATGTGTAATGGTGTATTGACTGCCCTAGTTATTTAATAATTACATTGAAGAGTTCTTTACTGGCGATCTAGCACACTTCGGTGTGATCCCAGCTACCCAATCACTGATAATCCAATGCACAAGGAATTAGGTTTGTGAGTGTACCGAAAGTGTACCGTGTAAGTTTTCTAACAGAAGTTTGCGTTTCATGATTAAGATATACAACAATATTAGTTCTCTCATTTAACTTATGAGGATCTGACAACTTACACCGAATCAAATTGAGGGTCTCTAACATCCAATGACTTAAATAATGTATAAGTTTTTGATAAATCGATATTTTCATACTTCTTCAACTGAATTATCTTACAGATCGCAAGTGGTAAATATCCTTGAAAAGTGAAATTCGCGGTTCTACATCAAATGGAATCCGTTGCCGTAACTTTAAGCAAACGCAGCTGTTCCGCAGATGGTTCTTATCTTTGTTTCGTGCTATTTAGAAACGTTTGATTTAGTGTGTAAATTCTACAGAATCGTAAATAATCACCATATTAAAGCATAGGAACTGAAAATTTACAAACAAATTATTTTCACTCTTTAGAATGGTTGACGCACCTGTTTCTCCTAATTATCGCGTGTTTAAAGGCATTTTCTCCCACGATTAGTCATTCTGTTTTCGATTTAGCAGCGAAGGTTAACGCAGTAATGACGAATTTGGTTTTCTAAAAGATTGAACTAGTCGATCCTAACCTCCTCGCACATTTTAGAGGCCCCAGAAACTGGAAAGGCGACCAATTGTTTATTTTTAACGACTGAAGATGTATAGGCGAAAGAGGGCGGAAACGAAGCAGCTAAGTCTTTTTTTATTGAAATATCGTAATCGAGTTCACCATTCACGTAAAAGAATAATTTTTAGTTGACAGCCTGAATTAAAAGGTCGTATCGCCGATGACTCCATTTTACAAAAAGACCCCTGTTTTTGCCTGATCAATTATTTGACTGAAGCTGGAGGTGAATAATACAACTCCTGATGCTTCCCTCGACATATAAGTGAAGCGCCGTAATAGGGGATGAAACTTCTCGAAAGAAAAGAACTAGTCTCGTATACGCATTGACGCATTGTCCTAGAGCCCTCGAGTAATAATTGGCAATTCTTTATTTTTTCCTCTAATTAATGAAAAACTTATGTTTTCTGCCTTTTATAGTTTGCTTTTGAAGAGAATAATGCTAACATGGGTGAGCCAAGGAAACTCATGCGCGCTCGAATTTTCTGGAATGTGAGACCATGATGTTGATTGGCTTAGGAAGTTAGCGCGGCCGCAAGAGTGCGGAAACCTCTCACCCAATCAACAAACGATAAACTTATCTCCACGTGGTGCAGCCTGGGCAACGTATACTCATACGGCAAAAAAGTCAATTAATCGGGGGCAACGTATACTCATACGGCAAAAAAGTCAATTAACTGACAACTGACTTCTCACTTCAAAGTACCATCACCCCACTCTATGTCATATTCCACTACTTCCACAGTAATCATCTCACCTTTTGTCTACCTTTGTGTCTGTTTCTTTTACATCTTTGAAACACTCTTCTCTTCACTCCCCCCTCTCGACTTTTTTCACTCTGATGTTCCTCCTCCCCTATGTGAAGCCTGAAGTCAACTAAAGGTCTAATGATAACTATCAAAACGCCTGCCATTTAATATACATACATACATACGGTTTAAAATTCAATGCCTGAGACGCCAAAAATTGTATATAAGGCCTAATTTCTATGCCAATGAGATCACGACTGAGACATGCGCCGTCCACAACGTACGGTCTGCTTCCTCGAGAGTGCTAAGGTAGTTTTGTTAATTTCGGGAGTAATTTCACACCAGGGTATTTTGCAAAGGAGATTGTTAAAATTTAGCCAATGCTTATTTGTGTTGTCTGGGGTGTGCGATAGACTTACCTCCACGTGGTGCACCCTGGGCAACGTATACTCATACGGCAAAAAGTCTATTAACTTGCAGTTGACTTCTCACTTCAAACTCTATGCTATATTCGACTATTTCACAGTACTCACCTCACCTATTTTCTACCTTTGTGTTTGTCTCATAAATCTTTGAAATACTCTTCTGTTCCCCTCCCCTCTCGGTTTTTTTCAATTTGATGTTTCTTCCCCTCTGTGAAGCCTGAAGTCAACTAAAGGGCTAATGGTAACCATCAAGACGCCTGCCATTTGATATAAATAAATATATTTGTGTTGTCTCTACTACACTTCGCAATGGAACTAAACTAGTGTTTCAAGATCTATCCAAGAAGTGGTTCCCGAATTGTTTAATTTTGTTGTGCTGTTCATACCATATCAATCGGTTTCTACTTTGTATGGTAAACTTACAAGCAAACCAGAATTAAAAAGTAGTAAACTTTTCCAATTGTGAGTCACTTTCAAGTGTTTAAAGGACGTGTGAACACTGTCTGAGGTAAAGATATTCGTCAGAATTCAACCCTGACATTGCTGTCTACTCGTTTCAGTGCTCGTCTTGCTTTCATTTATTCCTCTTTTAACAAACAATGTCAATACTTGAATATCCCTATCTCTATCTTACTTTTTCTGCACTCTACTACAAATATAGAAAAAAATGGAATAAATTGTTTATTTCTTCAAATTTTATTTTTTTTGCTGTACTTTTAAGCCTGGTTGAATAGTATTCTTAAAAACTTTGAGTTTTGGAGGTGCAATTGATCGCATGTGTGCCTTACCATCAATCATAATTTAATGCCATTATTGTTATTTTCTAAGCTTTTTTAAGTGAGCAGTTAGTTGTTACAAGCTTTCGAGATTTTTTCCCCTAAATTGTAAAGATTTGTGTGGCTGTTAAGAGCTGTAGAGTACACAATCCTTAACTCGATTTAATTAAGCAAACCCGTACACAATGGAACATTCTGGAGGATTCGGCGTGTGTGCAGAGGACTTCTCAGCTAGTCAGCTATTGTTGCCTATTTTTTAAGTTATGTTAGATGCATTCAAGTTTTCCATGAGGGCAATTTCTTTAAAAGCGATATTTCATACATGTTTGTTTCATCGATATTTATTTTTTTCAAATGGCAGGCGTTTTGATAGATAGCATTAGCCAGAAAGCTGAATTCGGACTTCATAGAGAGGAGGAGTAGAATAATGATTCACAGATTTAAAGGAGACAGACAGATACAAAAGTAGATGAAAGGTGAGGTTAGTGCTGTGGATGTGGTCGAATATGACATACAGTCGGGTCATGGCAGTTTGGAGTCAGAAATCAACTGCCGGTTAATGAACTTTTCGCCGTATGAGTATACGTTGCCCAGTCCACCACGTGGAGGTAAGTCTATCGCACACTCCTTCATCGATATCGTTGAGGTTGTTGAACTAAATCTGAAAACCTTTCCACATTAGGCTATTTTGTTATGGAGTCCATGCTCATTCATGGGGCAATTCACTATAGACCTTAAAAACTTGCTCAACTGAGATTGCTGAAGTTCACTCAAGATAAACTTTATTAACTTTTATCTGCATTCTATGAACTTAAGAAGATAATTCAATTATCTTTTGAGCATTACAAAATGTTTGCTTTGAAGCTCTTCATTGACCACACAACATATGCGTACGTTGACCTTTGTGCCCTCAATTTTAGTATTCGGGTAATGCAAGTTAGAAGCCTGAAATATAATCTGTACTTTAAACAAATTTTTATTAGAATTTAGTTAGCAGACACCAATCGAAAGAATTCTTGGTCTTTTAGCCGAATAAATTGAGTTACAAAGTGTTGGCAGTTCCAAATTTAATATGAAGCACTACCTCCTAGTCCTTTTACCAGACAGTATATTAATTCAATGAACGAATTGTGATGTCATTTTTGAGTTCTAATGTCTGTGGAAAGTTAGAATTTGTGCCCATTTTAATGCACCTGCGTGTCGATTTCTACATGACTCACCAAAAAATGTCCATTATTGGCACACCTAGCCGATTGCTATGCTAATAAACCTTGACTAAACTATTAAATCTCTAGGTCCATCATTGAACCCGCACGACCAACTATTAGCCTACTTTACTCGTGCAACTTTATTTCACAGTACTCACCTCTCTTTGTTCTCTGCCTTTGTCCCTTTTACATCTGTGAATCACCCCTCTCGACTTTTTGTCTCTTTGATGTTCCCTCCTCTCTGTGAAGCCCGAAGTCAACTAAAGGGCTAATAATAACTATTTGGTATAAATAAATAAATTTCACAAATAGCACCTCTATTAAAAATATGGGTAATAATTCAAACGCTATTGTATCCTATTAGCTGTATCAAACTCAGCCAACACGATCCCAGTATATCAAATCGAATATTCTTATGCCCTTGAAAAAAAGGTCACCGATAGCATCCCTAGTGTACTGCTTAATGAAGTTTTTTGGTTTTCGCCCTAATTAAATGGGAATAAATCTTGCCAATCCTTCAAAATCATGACTTTATACAAGGCTTTTCTAAGTTCTTGAAATAAACTAACTGCCTAACGTAGCCAAAACATAGAAAAAGGCGTGCAAACGGATGCATAAACGCTTTATTAACAAGAAAAAACATCTCTTTTTAAAATGTGTTACGTTACATAAAACCCGAGTTTTTCGATAGGAGGATAACAAGATAATTGTCTCCTGCTTCCACTCTTTTCTGGCGCAAGCAACTAATGCCTCCTTCTACAAGAAGTGCAATCGAAAGGTCTCCAGGAGGCAAAACATGAAGAACCCTCGAGTGTTCACTATCCAAAAACGATTGCTGCTGCTGGTCATCACCATCGCACTGTCCTTCCAGCCCATCAGCACTGACTACCACTACACCAGCAGCCTCCTTGCTTGCCAAATATGTGATCAAATCAGTCAGCTGGCGATTATGATTGTCTGCATCCTCTGCTTTAATAACAGTAGGGACAACCTCATTCACCGATTCTGTAGCAAGCAGCATACAGAAGTCCCCACGATTAACCGTTTTCATTCGTTTCTTGATCTCCTCACATTTTGAGACGTTCAACCTCAAGCGCTGGCTAATTCTTAATAGGGGTGAATTCACGGCTGCTCCAAATGGAGTTTTGCTATCTGAAACAGTCGCATCACCATCCGCCTTATCTTTTGAATCGTCCGTTTCCCCAACCTCGGCTTCCTCTTCATCATCCGGAGGCGTTTGGGGGGGCTTAGGATGATGTCTGGGGAAGAGTTGATCAGCCAGCGCTGTATCACCAGTAACAGCATACAAATGGCATGAAAAGTTACTCTTCTTCAATGCAAAAACAGCCTTCCACACTGGACCAGAGAGACAAGAAGTAACTTCACCAATGCCGCAGGATGAATTGATTTCCGGCATACCGACAAGTTCCTCAGAAACACCAACTGCTGGAGAATGCGTACGAGAATGGGACTGTGGTGAAGTCGGTGACCTTGAAGTACGACCCCCGTCACCACTGACAGATGGACTCCTTGCCACTCCTCTAGAAGAAGAGAACGACCTCGACCTCCTTACTGGTGACCTTCGAAGAGGAGAGCGTGAAACGGAGCGTTGATGTCGAATACCTTCTCTTTTAAAACGCTGCTTTCTACTATCCAATGCACCAGGACGTCCACGACGGAGGGAATCAATTGTACCCGAGTTGACCATGTGAGATTCGTCTGTAAAGTCAACACGAAGCCGGTGATTACCTCCAGTACCAATATGGACTCCGCGAAGAGCGTTAGCTACAGATGCTGCATCTTCAGATGTATAGAAGAGGATATTAGCATAGCCCTTTCCCGAAGGCCATATAATTTTCTTGGGGCGAGAAACACGCTCTACTAGGGAGGCAAAATTCGGATAAGTTGTCCAGGGTCCAAGGCCACCTACCCACAAGCATCGAGTGGGGGACACTTTACCATAGCCGACTTTACAAACATAACCATCGATACGTTTGCCAGCCATCCCCAACTTGGCTCTGTAAGCCATACTAACGTTGACAAATTTAATAAATGCATATGCTGGTTCATTGGGACTTCCATTTTGAGGGCGTTTGATATCAATGTCCTCAATAATTCCATATACGTCAAAAAGCTGCTGTAGTTGAGACGCACGGATATCTGGTGGGAGATTACCGACAAATAGAGTCCGAGTAGCAGTAGGATCATCCTCGGGGGTAGGATGGCCGTCAGTAGTGGAATTGACAGTAGACCTGCGGCCGTCACTCCGGTAAGGTGGTGAAAGACGATCCCGTGTTCTACTACCATGGTAACCGTCACCACCACCACGGCGATCATAATGCGGAGAGCGGTTGCCACCGCCACAACTTTTAAGGGAATGATGAGAGCCACCAAGTCCAGGAAACTGAAATGAGGATCCATTCGATGAACTTGGGCCTCCTCCAATAGCCGCTGCGATTGCTGCCGCATTCATGGCAGCAGCGGCCACAGCTGCAACAGCCGAAGAGTTGGGAGAATACATGTTCCCGGAAGAGGACTTGGAATTTGATGCGGAGAAAGTGGCATTTAAAGCTGCTGCTGCTGCGGCGGCAAACACTGGATCGATTTTTGTACCAGATTGACCGATTAAATCCCCACTTGCCATCAATCCTTGAAGAAGTCGATCTGAATGAGACCCCTGGTCGTACATATCCGAAGACCGATGTCCTCCACTAAAAGACAAATATAAATTATGAATTGCAACTTGATACAGGAAGAAAAGATTGATCCACACTGTAACGATTTTCCATTGTTAGCTCTACTCTACTTACAAATAACTAATTAATTTTAAGTGAAATATTATATACGTCTAATCATATATATAAACTTACTCTCTCGCTAAAATGAATTTTCTAAGTGATTATGAGAGAGGAACATTCCTTTGGAGGAATCATTGAACACAAACGTTAAAAGAGAAGTGAGACATGATAAAGGAAAGAAAGCAACAACAACAGCGAGATGTTTTGAATGGCGACACGTGAGGGCATCAAGAGATAAGAGTTCCACAAGAACCAGCATCAAATTAGCCGATTAAAATTGCGAGTGGAAATCCATTCTAAACATAAGTCTGAACGGAGGAAAAGAAGACCACTAATGGCAGTCTTGTAGACCACGGATATTTCAGTATGCAATACACAAGCAAAATTCCCTCATCAAGTTATCAAAAATTTTGAATAAATCCTCCAAGATACGATGGTAAAAGGACGTTACATTCCTTAAAGTGGAATCCTGAACACCGGCGAAGAGTTGCTTGGAAAAACATCATCCATTATAGTGGATAAAGCAGTGGACAATAAAAGATTTGTTTGAGATTGACAGTTTAATTAGTATCAAATTTATTCCATGGGAGCAAGTGATATCAATCCGAATTTGCAGCTCACATGCCAGAGACGTAGGACAACATAATCAAATAATTTACCTGTTTCCAGAACGTTGGTTAAACCTTCGAACAGGAGGTCCAGATCGAAAACTCCCTGATCCACTTTGACGACCAGAATCATCATAATCCCGTTGGGAGCGAGAAAAAGATGAACACCCACTTCGCGGATTATGTCTTTCATAGGGAGGCGATTGTTGCATGGGTCTAGATCGGTTGCTCTGCACTCCATAATTTCTATAGCTATTGGAATCTCTTCCATTTGATTCATCACGTCGATATCGACTGTGAATCGGAGAATCTCTTCTGCCAATCCTTTTCATGACGATAATAATCTGGCGGATATGAAGGCGATTTTAATTGGTTGTAACTATTAGGCCATATTGTTAGTAACACTCAAATGCTGTTTTGTGGAACATTTTATTACGTTACAACAAATAATCATTTTTATTCTTTTATTTTATTTTAAAATTTGAAATTATTAGCATATTAAGGTAAGTTGGAACTGAATAGCAATATTGTGTTTCTGTTGCTGTCGCATAAATTTTTGTGTGCATGTACAATTTTCTCAGTTAATTATAATTAAAGACATTCAAATAGTAATGAGCTGAATCTTGGACTTCTAATAGAAACCAGGACTGTCTTATGTATCGCTGCATATTGAGTGGCAATTTACGCACAAACTTGCACCAATATCTTTGCCCTCAATATTTCGTGCAGCAAATTAATAACCCAGATCTTGCTTTTCCAGTACTTAAAAACAGATTTTCGTTCAAATTGTGCAAATGTTATCGAATAAACCTGTCAGAAAAATGTTCAAAAAAGTTAGCAATAATGGATTTACTATAATCAAACCATTTACGACTCTAATCATATTTACATTAAATAAAACCTAATAGCTTCATCGAACTGCGTGGTTGAAGGTAAAGCATAATTCACTTTTGACGTCAAAATAAAAATACATTCATCTTCCTGAAGCGATTTCAAAAAAAATCAACTAGCATATGAAATTTTAGATGTCAATTCTACGAATATAATTGATAATTTAATAATAAATTTGTATGGTTGCTGAGAAAATCCTCCGAAGAAGGGCAAGTATTTATCGAAAAATGCCTTCAATAATTCTACTAAAGCAAATCAGAATAACTGGTCACCATAAGTACAGTTATTTTGAAAATCCTAACTCCAATTAACTGTTTCACAAAAAAATTTAATCTGATTACTCATCGCGTTGTATCCAAAATGAATTATTGTATTATGAATAAAGATTCAAATTTTAAACGATATTGATGTATTTAGAAGATTCAATACATCTTATTTTCATATTTATTAAACATCAAAGTGCAGACAAGATAAAACATAATTCAACGGTATGTACTGGAGCAATCACTTATTATTTGCTGCTAATACAGGAAGTCTTCACATTTATACTATTAATAAATTTGAGCCAATCACACTAATCACAAAATTCTCGGTATTACTTCTAGTTGAATTAAATTTACAGCAATATAAGTTAGATATCAACGTAAATATCGAGTTAAACAGTAGACGTATAGTAAAATTTAATTAATCAAAAATATTTTTATTTATCAAGAAATTTTGTTATAAATTCATTTCATTGTTTTAACAAGCGTATAATTTTGGCGACTGTTTCATAGTCGTCAATTGGAGCTAGTATTGTTTTAGGGAGTTCTGCTTCGCATTGATTCCAAGTGTTTTAGCGTTTCCTAACTATCTTGTTCTCCGATTAAAATATGACTGACGATAGTCGACGAAAGTGGGATCGGTCTTATTTTGAGAAACTCGCCGAGCAAAGATCAACGGAGGAGCTAGAAGCACTTCGTAATTCTCGTGCCGAGAAGGAGGCCCTCAAGCGCCAAGATCTCAAGGCCCGTGAATACACAGTAGATCTTGAATCTAACCTGAATAAATCACAAGTAATTGCAAAAACTGGACCAGGTAGTTCCCAAGCTGGTTATTATTGCAATGTCTGTGATTGTGTGGTTAAGGACTCAATTAACTATCTCGATCATATTAATGGCAAAAAACATCAGCGCAATCTTGGAATGTCTATGCGTATTAAACGTTCAACCCTTGATGAGGTGAAGGGTCGTTTTGCCATGCACAAAAAGGCCCAAGAACAAAAGGCACAGGAGTACAATATTGATGAGAGAATGAAACAAATCGCAGAGGAAGAGGAAAAGTTGAAGGCTTATAGAAAAGAAAAGAGAAATGAAAGAAAGAGAAAGGTCGAAGATCCTGATTTATTGGACGAGGATGTTGCTTCTGTAATGGGATTTGGGGGATTTGGTTCTTCCAAAAAGTCCCGTTAGTATTATTGTACGGTTTATTTGTAATTTTTCTGTAAATAATATTTTTATGCTTCACTTGTAAAGCCTTCTTTTGCTTTTTGGTATATCTCTATATCGTAAAACAAGTAAGACTGCACATACAAGGATTGTAACCTAAAAGTTATACTTAGTATTTTGCAATATTTGCCTACCAATAGGACACTAGCGATGAGTGTAAGGGAGCCCACGGGTATGCTATATCGTTTGAGATAGGATTTGATTGCCGAAAAACAACCCTTGGAAAAGCAATAGATTTTCATGAAATTAATTTACCCTGTAGTAAACTGCGTCGTTATGGGCACCTACGAAGAATCTTGGAGGTCCATATTGCCAACCTTGACACTGTTCAATGCTCTTAAACTGCCCAGTTGGATGACCAGTAAGAGGGTCAATAAGAGTGAGGCAGCAAGATTCTGGAACTCGTTTGTAGAAGGAGCTAGTGTCTTAAGGAAGAGAAGGGGACAAATTATAAAGATTTGGTTTTTGTTACCTGATAACAATGAACTAACGTTATAGAAGTACGCGTTGACAGATAGATCCCACCAAGAACTGCGATATGCAGTCCAGCCATTATCATCAACGGCACAACAGCGTAACTGAGACTGCATAAAGTCCCAAGCGTCTGTTATAAAACCCTTTTTGCCATAGTCTCTGAATAGTGTCCTGTTCATTTCAGTTCTCACTGCAGTTCCGAGCTTAAGGAATCGTAATAAATCAAATTATAAACGTACAGGAGCTGGAAAAGCGAGCAGAGCCACCCCACCACAGAATGTAATGAGTATCAAGATGGTTATTCCTATTATGTACTGGTGGGATAAAAAATCAGAAAAGTCGTTACCAAAATTAGCATTAATACACTGTATCGCTTTAAAGCGATTGATCCCCAAACAGGAAGAAGGAGTAAGAAGGTTGAACAGAAAAGAGATACATAGGAGCCGACATTAAACAAGTAGTTTCCAAGTATTTCGGGAGTATTTGCTTTGTTTAGTGATATTAAAACGGACATTGTAAATACAGCAAAACCAATTAGCTTTGATTGATGGTAAAAACACAAAATAGGTAACTTACCATCAATAGTAAATTCGCAAAAAAAATGTACAATCTAAGAACGGAAGACTTGAAATGTTTCCTCATAGTTCAGAGTAAAAATTAAATCACATTTAAAAAGAAAATGTTATATTATCAAAACCGTATGAAGCGGAAATGACCTTACAAACATCGGAGAAAGTTGATATATTTAGCTCATTCTATAGACTAACAAACATTGAGTTTGAGAATTTTAAATAATATTTATCACCTATCAATTTCCATTTATAATAAATACACACATGCTTGCATAATGACGAACATTAAATTCTAATTCGAATATCATAATTAAATAGGTTATAATGAAATTGGAACCTGATGCAACGTTCTTTATCGAACCCGTGAATTTATTTATAATGGATAAAGGTACTGAACTTTAACTACTGTTTATATCTTGATGTATCTCTCTATCCAAACTAAGACTTACACATGAAAACTGCTAAACCCGACGTTGGAATAATTTCAATTGCATATTTCCTTCAAGCAACATTTTAAATAAACTAACGGTTCGACTGATGTCTCCGAGGGATTTTTGCCTACGAAGCTAAAGCTAGACAAAATGAATTTTCTAAAGTTGTTATTGTGGGGGTATCTGCGTATAAATGCCACAAATTATTGGTGATTATGTTCTTGATTTAGAATATAACCTCCAATATATGTAATTTTAAATCCTTGGAACCAAGGGTATTTTGAGCTACAAATGCCATTTCTTAATATCTACAGAAAATATTACTCTTACAAAGGTGATTAAAGAAAATCACTTGCTACAAGTGTTGAACGAACATGAAAGCACACGATTTAGGATTTTTCAGGATTTTATCTCAAGAAATCCTAGGAGACATAGTTAATGTCGATTTCAGATAAATAATCAATTAACTGTACTCCTTTAAATTTACTATCACAGAGCACAATTTCATAAAAATTTCGGTGTGTGTTAGTATTAATTTATGTGATAAGAAACGTGGTTGTTTATTTTCCTTTTTGAATGAGTGGCTTGTTTGACCAGCCACTCATTTATTCTTCCATTAATTGTAAGATGACATTAATTGACGATTATATCAAAAACGGAACTCCGTGGTCTCAATTACCGCCGAATGTGCAGTCTTCTCTAAAGCAAGATCCGGCTGAGTATGATGCTAGAGTTCTTGTATATTTCTTGCAAAACCAAATGGAATATTCCAGTGATTTGATAAAAAATGTAGGTACTTTAAAATATTCATTTTTTAGATTGTTCGTAGTGAGAAAGCTTATTATCGCCAATTGGTTCAATATAGTTCGCAACACATGATGCTATTCCCTTACCATCTTCAAAGAAAAATTGTTCCTGGTTTGGATATAACTCCCTTTGATTATTACAAAAGTATTGTTCGTCGAACCATGCTTTCAGAATTGTCATACGATCGAATTCCGAATTTTACGGCAGCTGATTGTTATCAAATTCTTGGAATCGGGAGGAATGAGTTTATTGATCTTCTGAATGTCTATAAGGGGAAACTTTGTTCACCTCAATCTCAATTGAAAGAGTCACCTGAAGCCGTTCTTGATGGTCTTCTTCCAAAAGCTCCACACAATTTCAAGCATCTTCAGCCTTGGTTTATTGTACGTGCTGGTTCAGTCAGTCTTACCGATGTTCAGGAACAAACACCAGAAGTCCAATCGGTCCTTGACAAAATTATTGACCACGATCGATCATCCATTGTGGATCAACTCGGTCCAGGACTTAGGATCTCCGAGATACCATTGGGTGAATTTCAGGAGCTTTATAGTCGTGGTCTGGTCTATGTTGACGTCCCCATTCTTGAAACCGATTGTCTCTTCGTGCCAACCTTGGATGGCTTCATAATGAATCGAGTTACCGGTGATAGTTGTGAAACTCTCTTATACAAGATTTTTGTGTCTCTCGATCCTCAATCTAACCTTAGTCAACTTGCTTCTGATTTGGGTGTTGGTTTGGAATTCGTCATTAATGCCGCATCTGTGTTTGTAAGACTTGGATTTGCCCAAAAATCTAATAAACAAAGTAAAGTGGATAGTCCCATATCGTTGATTGATATTTCCTTGCCTACGTCTATGTCTGAATCTAAAAAAATTTCATTCATATTCGATTCGTCTATAACAGCTTATCTCATGTTGGGTAATCTCTCTGCTAACTTAAAGAAACATTCGGTGACAATGTTCGAAGTTGGAAAACTAACCGGTGATTCTCTTACTGCTTTCTATAAAGAGATTTCTTCACTTTCAAATTCTGCTGAACAAGATGTCGGAGTGCACTATGAGCATGCAAAATGTCTTAGCCAAACTATGAGTTATATCTCTCGTGCACTAACCTCCTGTGAAGATAATTTCAAGTATTTGGATCTTGTTAGGTGTGGTTCTCTTGCTTCACTTGAACCCATCACTCGTTGCAGAATACTTTCACGAAATTACAACCTTCTCGTTTGCATGGCACCCTTGTCTTACGAAGAGGCACAGATTTTCGGTCCTAATTTTCCACTCATTATTGGTCCCCCAATTCCGGAGATTTGTTCCTCCTGGTTTCGTCTGTTTATTTGTAAAACTGTTGGGGAGGGTGGCATGCCTTCCCTCCTTCTCACACGTGGAACTCGAGTTAATCAACTTCCTTCTTCTCTTGCTCGGTTTTCAAGTTTTCTTGTGACTTCTTGGGGTCATGACCCTGTTTTGATGGATATCTACACATTATTTTACTCCGTCAACGATCTTACTATTAATTGTCCTGTTTTTATCCAAGCCTATGATGATCGGGAACGAAATTTTCCCTTGCATCAACACTTTTTGTCCCTTCCACTTACTTCGGAGTTTATAACGCGAATGAGTAAGCGATTACCGTGTTTAGAGCGTCTTTCTCAGTCTGTGGACCTGACCTGTTTAATCGGATATCTATCCCTTCTTTTACCTGATGGGAAATCGGAAGTCGATTTTACATTAAAACACGATGAAACAGATCCGAACGGGGAAGGTTTTGGTGGAGGAAGTTTGTATCAGCAAAATACCTCCCAATTCTTGGAGCATTCTGTCGTTGACCCACGTGTTGTCTTGTCTGAATCAAGTCTTGAGGAGATTGTCAACTCTGGTCGACCGGTTAAAGTGCTCAGTGTAAATCTAGGCATCCCTTTGTTTAATTCAGCTCTCAACACCGCAGTATTTAAAAGAATTAGAGAGTTATCAGGAGATAGTGACCAGCTACTATCATTGGAACTTCGTTCAAAAATTGCAGAGGCTAATGAGGCGTTAGCGAAAAAATTGGTAACTTTTATCAAGTCCTCTGGAGGGATTTATGTCAACACTGCCTCTTCGATGATCCCTGATGATGGTGGCTGTGACTATGGTGACAAGCAGGCATCACCACCAAAGTTGCCTCTACCCTCCATTTCTCTGTGTTGTAACTCGATTGGTGACCTGCAGGAGTGGGAAAATTAGAGAATGGAGGGTCTTTCTATCTTATTCTTACCATTTGTTAAATTGTGCGCGTGTATGTTTTTTTAACTGTGATCACTCGTCTATTTCATTTAAACGTCTTTTTTTTATGAGAAATGCCCTATGCTTTTACTTAAAGAATATCATGCTTTGTTACACTTTTCCTCCTCAATGTTTTGATTTTGTTAGTATATTATGTCAGTGCCAATTGGGTGTTCGTATTCATCAATTATCGGGACCGATGGTACCGGTTAAACTTGGCTAAGCAGGTTGCTACCTTTCCAAGTTATGGATGTTTAAAAATTCTTCCCTTCACTGGGGTTAGGAATTTTGCGGGCTATTTATTTCCAAGTGATTTGTGGAAAGTGGTTAGTCAATAGAGGGTTATGCTGCAAGCTAAACAAAATTGAGCGGTGCGTTTGGCCATCACGTCACGGCACTAGGTGAGCGCATTTGAGCATTGATTTCAGATTTGCCAGGCGTGTACTTCATTGACTATATCATCGAAGCATGCAATGTGGATAGGTTTTTTTAATATCTTAAAACAAGAAATTGGTTTGAAAGAATGACTTGGCCTACTCATTATTCGGCTTTCCATTTTCATTATCTTTCAACAGATATGCGTGCTACTGATGGACGTAGGGTATTTGTGAATATTCAAATCAGAGCACAAGTTAATAATGTGTGCGTAAAAGGCGTACCAAATGATTACAGACCGCTGGTTTCTCTGTCAATCTGAAACCAAGGGCTGCATCCGGGGCATACTACATACCGATGACCCGTGCAGTGGTCAGCATGATAACCACTTATAATCATGTAGGTAGTGTTTCAATTCCTATAAACAGGTACATGAGGAGAAGATGAGGAAGCCTAATTTCTTTCATCAGATTTCGGCAAATGATTTCTTCAATATCTACCGAGAGGTATCTGTGTAGTTGAATATCATAAGCCAAATAAGTAAGCTAAGGACGTAGTTTACATATAAAAATGTGAGCGAGCGATGAGTGTAACAAAATGTAAATGGGATGGGTGAAGGCCATTCGTATTTATTTAAAATCCTACGTGCCTATTCACTCCTCACACGCTTCACCCAATTTCAAAGATGGAAATTTGGTTGTAATAAATCGGTCACACGAAAGTAGTCATAGGGGTAAGATAGGTAATTGGTTGTGATTACCCATTCAAAACTAAAAAACGCTTATTCAAGTGCGCTTGCTCTGGTGGTATAGCAGATTCCAAAGAGAAAAACACGTGAAAATGCTTCTGAATAAGTAAATATTTGCAGTAATTCACATCTTAAACCTTATATCTGGCCTGTGTATGATGATGCAGAAAGTTCAAAATACTCAAATAGTTGATTCACAAAGGAAATACAACATGGGGCCAGATCTGGATATCACGACGTGCATTCATACAATTTTTACAATGCGAACCGATATCAAAATTCAACCCTTATTAACCCTCAATAGTGAATAACACTCGACTGCAAAATGAAAATGATGTAAGGCGAATTACACACAAAATATGTATTTGCTCATACAAATTTCATTAGACCTTTATACATACATGTAGAAATATAGGCAATCATTTCGATCCAAAGAGGCTTGGTTTAGTAGCCGGAGAACCGAAAATGGAACCCCCCGTGTTTCCAGTTCCAAACCCAAAGCCAGTTGAAGCTGTAGTAGTTGTGGCTATAGAAGAAGTTCCAAATCCGAACCCAGTGCTAGATTGAGCAGGTGCCGAACTAAGACCAAAACCTATAGAGTTTGTTGTCGTCGTCCCGGGGGAGGCGGCAAGTGTGTTCGAACCGAAAGAGAATGCAGTGGAAGATGTAGAGGTAGACGTTTTAGCTCCAAATCCACCTAGAGAGAATCCGGTGGAGGATAGTGCGGAAGCAGTCGTAGTCCCTCCAAGACTGAAAGAGCTTGCACCACTTGATGGTTTCAAGGCTGATAACGAAAATGCTGATGCTGATGTGGTCGTAGTAACTAAAAAGGGAAGTTTCAGTAAAATTTTGAATTTAGCGGAGTATGATTATCCAAAAGTTTATATACTAAAAATGGATTCAAAGCAAATTCCGCTTATGGAAAAATAGATAAAATGAAGTGGATGGTCTGCGGTGGAGGCCATATATGTCAATATATTCAGAAATATGTCATTGAATGCTTTAAATCTATCGCACGACTTTCGTAATTAGGCGTAATTAACAAGTAAATCGATAAATGAACGAAAATTTTGCATGAAACTCATAGAAATGACTTGAAGTACTTAAGTGGGAAAGCAATCAATAGAAACTAGTCACCCTGAATCCAATTATCAAACCATTTAATAGTTACAAAATGGTAGTGAAAGGTAGGGAGAATGGGGAAGACCCCTGATTAAAAGTGATAATGGCAACTTATGACCGTTTACGGTATGCAATTTCACAGTTATACGCAGAAATCGCTACCAGGAAGGATCTCAATCAGAAAATTAATATTTTTTTAAAAAAGAGGTAAGGTTACAATACGGATTCTAAATGAAGACTATTTTATCAAAAGCATTTCAACTAAAATAATTCAGTAAAAGGAGAAAAATTTACTACCTGTCGAAGGTTGTTGAGCGACCAACCCGAGGGATGGGAGACCTGAAGTTGCCGTAGCAGCCTGTGCACCAGTGGTCACTGTACCTGTAGAAAAAGGCGAAGGACCATATGGCGTATTAGCACTTTTCTTCTCCGATTCAAAAAGAATTTCGTCAAATACAGACATGGACGCCGCAGTTGAAGACGCGATAATTTTGCCACTGTCCAGACTCTGATACTGACGAAGAATCTGCGCTTTGGGTACCTGAAGTAATATTCAATACAAATATATTTCATACACTAAGCTGCTCATTTAGAGAGTACAGTTGAGCTGCAAGGGCCATAAATGTGTCATCTAGTTTTCGCAAAATATCAGACAGTTCTTTAGGTGTTAAATTAGACTTCGCTCTTGATGAAAGAGAATTTTCAATAGCTAGAACCTCCTGCTTGTAAGTTTGTACACGATTGCTGAATGATGAGATACAATTCTTAAAATACTCATTTATTTCGGGAGAGTTCTGGGCAAAATCAGAAGACATGTCAAGAGAACGCTGAATAATTCCCGTATTTCTTTCTAACTGAAGGATTTCCTCGCTTAAATGTGAAGATTTAACATTTTGTCGTCGTAGGCCAGATAAAGTACACGTAACTGATCTTTGCAATTCTTGAAGCTCTGTCGAAAGATCGTCGAGTTGCTTGTTTGAAGTTTTGGCAACTTCATCGCGTATTTTCTTTTGTTCAGCTAAATATTTTCTAAATTACAAGATAAGTCAACAATATAATTCGTACTTCAGCTCCTCCACAACAGCCAATATTTCTGGCGGGACTTGTGTGTCCTTCTGTTGCTTGGAATCACTAAAAATCCAATTAGAGAAACATAAGACATTACAGAATATTAGACAGAGAGGCCAAGAGAGCCATTCAAAATATACCGAGAGAATCGATCTAACTAGCCGCGGCAACGTTAAAGTTTATAAGAGATGCTAAATAAATCACAAATGGTGTAAAAAATAAAAAAGAATTGTGATTAGATTTTGATTATTTTTTATATGTGAAGGTTTGTGGTATCTATGTATGTTACCTGTAAAGCAATTTTTATTCATACAATTATCAACATCAATAGCAAACTTATTGTACTCAAAGTCAGAAATATTAACAACGTTATAGTGTTTTTAAAGTTAGAATTCTTTGGCTTTTGAAGTTAATAAGTAAGTAAAACAAATAGCGCGTTTTCCTTTTCACCAATAGAATTGCTCTGTGCTAGGCGCAGATTTTGCAGTTCCTAGTGGAGCTTAGGTCTAATGGCTGGGGGTTTATCTAATGAAGTCAGTTATGAAAGTATATTAGCTCGTACGTCAGATTACAACAGGAGGTTAATTACTGACAAGCAAAGTCGTCTTCCATTTTTGGATAATGCGACCGGCATAGCTCAGAGGCCCTGTCAATTACAACGGAAGGACGAAGAACGCTACCTCAGTCCCCTTAATAACAAAGTCTTCACATATTGTGCCCACAAATGGAAAAAGACAAAAAAGAACACCCTCTCTCATAGTTCGGTGGTTCGGTCTGTGGATCAGTTTAATAATAATGCCAGAGCGGGTATAGCATTGTATTTTGTGTTATCTTCATGGTTTCAAGCTGACTTATTTTTGCATGGTGGTGCTTTTTCAGCCCAAGACGCACTTTGGCGTGAATTGGACGATGAGGACAGTCGTAGTACATGGGCTACAAATCCCGTTTACGATGTTGACTCAGAAGGGAGTGAGCAAGCTGATGAAACCTATGGTGGCCGACGAAAAAGACGGAAAACGAGGGTTTGTTCTCTGTAATTACACTTATTTCGAATCTGTAGGGTCCTCGGTCGTCAAAACTAAACGTGAGTCAAATATCAACCCCGGCCAGCGGTCGAAGACGAGCGGCTACTAACTCCTACTATTCAAGTTACACCAACGGTAATTCAATTTATGAAGAGGACTCCAATGAGAAATATCCTACTGCGCAGTTTGTTTGCGAAGTATGTGGTGGTCGATATAAGACTAAAACTGGTCTAAATTATCATTATAACTCTCAGCATTCTGGAATTACATCTCAGGTAGTTTTCTACTTTGATTTTAACCACAATTACTTTAGCCTAAGAAGACTTTACAAGTTGGAACTCCGAAAGCTGTTAATAATAATGGCCAATCTCTTCCCCATACTTCGGTCAATACAGGTCTTCTTTCTGCACTAATTGAAAATACCTCGGATAGGACACCAGTTACGTATAATAGCAATACAAGGAATATCCCTAGTACTAGTGAGTTACACCTTTTATGTATATTGATGTTTGTTGCTTAAAGGAAAGAAGGTTAGGTTGGGTTTTAAGTGGATATTTTTATGTGCTTTCAGTGCTAATCCATAAGGGCTAATGCGGACTGGCGTTTGGGGGGAAGGCCACCTGCGAAGGCACTCAATCACTATTTCAAGCAAAAGTCCATTTTCACTCGTTCTTTCTCAATTTAAATCATATTCATCCCCAAGATGAACCCTGTTTTAATAAAAATTCACTTGTTTGTTCTGACAGCCAGTCATCTAACCCCATTCAAACAATGTGACAAATCTGATTTGCTGAACCAGGTGGTCCTTTCTACTCCCCAAAACTGTCCGCTTTTTTCCTTATCCACTTTTCTTTGTCTTTCCCTTTATTTTCTACTCCCTCTTCCCTGTTCAAAATGGCTAATTTTGACTCCGTTTGCATTGGCTGTTTTGTACGCACAAGAATCTGAATTGGAACAATTTTCGCTGCTGTGTTGATTTACCTCAAGTGCTTTCCTGTTATTTTGTTTGTGTTCTATTCCCACCTATCTTCACTCCCATTTCTCATATTTTTTCTTATTTCCATTCCGTTATTTTTCGGAAGAGCGTTCCCGTTTAGTTTGCTCAAATATATGATCATTTATTCAGTGCTTAATCATTTTACTGCAATGTCTACGTGCCTTACCTTTTTAGGCATTGTTAGCAATTAGAAATTGATAATATAATGTCCAATATCATCTTTATTTGGGATTAGAGGTTTCAGTGTTAGACTAAACTACTACTTCGTGCAATTTAGCTTTGTCTCGAGTTAATTCTCATTATTCTTTTTATCTAAATACGATTTCTTTTCTTAGGAGTCATTTTTGTATTTCTGAAATTTATGTTACGCCTGCGTTTACCAAGCATTTGGTCAATTTTGAAGTCACCAACTTCATTCCGTTTTGCCTTGCCGAGAGTCCAGTCTAAATACTTCCTGGCTCTAGCATTTTGACGTTTCTCTTCATAAGATGGGGGTTTTTAATTGTTCTTCCCTTTTTTCAATTTTCTTCTGAGTTCGAGTTTGCTCCTTTTCATTAGGTAACATGAATTAGCTCATTTATGATTACTGTTTGTCTATACTACAAATCGGAAAGAATTGATTGTGTCAATGGCGTCTGCGAGGCAATTGGTCGATGTTCATGAATTCAGTTCCAGTGGATGGAAAAGTCCATCGCACTGGATAATTCTAGCTAATAAAGGAGTTGGTAGGATTCGAATTTAACTGATACTACCCCTCCATCAAAGATGACTTCTGAGTTACACTTTCTTGAGCAGATTTGGAAGTTGAATCTTCTTATTAGAGTTATTTAAATGGCGTTCTAGTTTCTAGGTTTAGATCACTCGCGTTTTAAGGAATTGGAGCTCAATATTCGTATTGCATTTTCCTCTAATTTTGTCATTTATATTCCTTCATGTATAATCCTTACTAAAGTGTTTAAGAGTAGTATTGGAATGACGTTTTATTATATCTTTGCCTCCCTCAAATAATGGGTGGTTAAATATTCACACTTTCTTAATTGTTTACGTTTTTGCTGCCTTCTCAAACTGTCACTTACTATTATCACTTAACACCTAGATATGTCACCTTCAGTTTCTTATTTTTAATTGAAATTATACTCCAATTTGAGCATTCCCTGTTTACTACTTCGCTCCCCCCCCCCCCCCCCCTCCTCCTCCTCCTGCAACTAGACTTAATTTATTGTCAAATACGATGTGTGACAAGAGTGTGTGTGGGTGTGTGTTGTCTGCAACAGATCATGTTGCTCGCTTGTATATACTGCTTTTGCCTTAAACGCGTCATTAATATAGCTCATTTGCCTGGCCTCTCGTTTAGTGTATATTGCCTACCAAATGCCTCCTTTTTTGCAAATGTCTTTCATTTTCTAGGTATCGGGTCAGTGAATGGCTGCTGTTGGTTGGTTTATTTAGCAAATAAATAATCTAAAAGCCATTGTCATTTTTTTATTCCTTCGTTGTTTCATCTTTTTACGACGAATACTTTTATTCACTATTTTCCGGTTCATCTTCAGAGAATTGCCTAACGTCAACAATTAATTCAATCGATATTAAATAGATGCAACTGTGTGGTTAATGTGGATGTAATGGGTCGAAACTCATGAGATCGTTTGAAGCTTGCCTTCCTTAAAACGTTAGCCTGATGGAACTGGCTTTCTATTTATTCAAAAACGTATTTTTCCCTGTAGCCATTTACAGTTGACTCAGAGAAACTTGTTTCATCGATGTGTGTTCCGATGTGCAATGGAGGGGATAAAATCTAACTTTTTCATAAGAGAGGAACTTCAGGGTGTTTTATCGCTCTCGAATCAACGTCTTTAAGTGGGCCTGGAGGGTTTTATAGTCTAAGGAAACTTTTTGGAATCTCACCTATTGCCATTGCTGTTAATTTTATGCTGTTTCTTTTGGTTCGGAGTACATACGTACCGTATCGAGTCAATAGTATTTAACTATTAATACCAGATGTGGTTGATTACTGTTCAGGCGTCCGGTTCTTTTATAATCGAAATTAATTGTATCTTAGTTTAAAATTTTCCGATTTGTTGCTGTTGTTTGGGAGTGAATCTATTCTATTTTTTTTCTAGTCTCTGGTATTGCGGTTAATTGTACTTGTTTTTCCTTTGTTATTGAAGCAAAGTGAACTGGCAAAGTTAAAATGAATCACTTCGAATGATTCTATTTTCACTTGAGAAAAGGTAAAGTAACACTAATTCGAAGGACCGCTACTTTTATTATCTGACCAGGGTTAAGCTATAGCAAACAGGAACTCGTCTCAAGGCCAAAAAGGAACGAGATGTTGAGATGGACTAGAGACGAATTGGACGTTTGCAGAGGAGGTAGAAGTTGTGTGTGTGTGTGGTTGCAAAATATAAATAATTTTATATGGCTTATGTATCACACGGCCATCTATTGGTTAATGTGACCAAATGTGAATATCAAGGCAATCGATGCAAGGCACCATTGCTCATGCACTACGAGGTCCTCTTATTCTAACTCATCCCTTTTCCTTGTTAATCATAAAATACTCATTTGATGCACTTGGAGTACATTGGATGAAAGTTGTGGACATGTGTCCAAGTTCTGTTTTTGTCTTATTCTAATTAATCGTTTACTTGCTTGATTTGTAAGGGACATGCTCTTATTAGCGGCTGGTAGTTCTCGCCTCTGCATCATACCTTAAACTGGTTATGTAAACTAATTTTGAGGCTATATCTATAATTTACTTCTCATGTAACTTGACTTCTCACCAAATTAAATATAGAATTGCATGAATTTAAAATGGTGGGGCTTAACCTAGAATGACTAGTTTGCACGCTTAATTTTCACCTTTATTAAGCTACATCTACTCCGAATCGAAGAAGTAAAAGGGAGAAGAATTGTAGCTCCAATCAACAGTTACTGTTATTGAAATGAAATATGTTTGCCTAGAATTGGATCCGTGTTGTCAATATCTGCCTAAGTCTTGGACTCGTCCAGATTCAAGCGTATAAATTAATTAAAAATCCAATGTTTGAGGAATGAAGCTTATGAGTTTTGCCTTGATGTACTGAAAATATTAGACCGATAAATGGCTTCTTACTTTTTGTAGTCCTCGAAGTTGGAAAGCCCCGTCCATCTGAAGCACTTGCCGAGGATGGTGAGCCGCTGGTGTGTGACTACTGCGGTCATGATGAACGCCTCAACCCTAAGAAACCTGGCGGTGAAGGACCCGAACCTCTCCTCTGTTGCTCAGACTGCACTCGTCGAGCGCACTTCTCCTGTCTCCAATTTGTGCCCAATATGATCACCTCAGTGCACGGCTATCGGTGGCAGTGCATTGAGTGCAAAACCTGCTGGCTTTGTGGAACTTCGGAGAATGATGTAAGTTTTGATGGAATTCTCTTCATGAATTTAAATTTTTTCCCATGTTTAGTATCCACCCTCAGATTCCCATCATTTCATCGCATATCCTTCTATCTGCTTTTTTGGCTATACCGCAGATTGTTGGTTTCTCTTCTTCGTTTTTTTTATTCTAACTGCGCATTAGGATTAGCATTTTCCGCTTCGTTAAGAAATCTTATTCCGCAGCTGATGCTGAGTCTAATTGTGTCGGACGGATTTTCTGTGTGGAATGATGTTCACCGTCTCTCCTCATTAGTCTCTGATGTTACCGACATTTGGTGAATGCTAAACAGCCATTAGCGCCGCTGAAAGTAAGTACGCATTTCTATGCTCTGGTTAAGGGGAAAGGGTGATTAAGTAAGTCTTCTATTAACTGGATGAAGATTTACATACGCTGGTCTGTCTGAAGACCGATGGTCATCTTTGAAAATTCCGTGCTGTGGATTCATCCATCGAACTCTTAGTGTTAGCCAGTTATAAGAGTGGTTAGGTGTAAATTTCTCTCTCTCTAGAACTTCTCAAGAATACCTTCCCTCTATTTTTGTCAGTAACAAAAATCGAGTAAACAATTGTAATCTGCTAATTCTATTGTTTCAGGCCATATTCCTCGGTTCATTGTTTATGCTTTCAATTTTTGCCACAAAATAGTGATTTCTTTCTTCTTCGTCGACTGTATATCCGGGGTTAACATTTATCTGACCTTTAACCCTTAAGTCGTGTTGGCTTGTTTGAAGAGTCAGAATTTCTGTGAGCAGGGCTCACCGACTCTCAAACGCCTCTAACTTTATCGACTTTTGTTGAGGGGTTTGGTAGTTTATTCAGGCTAGTCTTTCAATGCATGCTGTTGAATTTCGTTATTTTGCTCGCTTGAACATGAATTATACTCTTAGCTATATTAGTTCAGTGCTTCCATTGAAGCCAAAGTTGAATAGAGCTAAATTTGGCAATAGAAGGCCATTTTAACGTATTCACATCTAAAAGACTAGAAAGTAGATGTAAATAAATAAAATACTGGCTGAATTCTCATAGTTTATTTATTTATATCAAATGGCAGGCGTTTTGATAGGTTATCATTAGCCCTTTAGCTGGCTTTGGACTTCACGGAGGGGAGGAACAGACACAGTCTCAAAATGTGGAGGAGGGAGAACAGAAGGGAGATTCACAGATGTAAAAGAGACAGACTGATACAGAGGTAGTGAAACAGGTGAAGTGAATACTGTGGAGGTGGTCGAACATGCCTTACATTGGGATCATGGTAATTTGAAGTGAGAAGTCAACTGTCTATCGCACACCCCTGAATTCTCATCATCATCATTGAGATGATTACTTTCCTTACTTCTAGAAAGATGGCGATATTTAAATCCTTAGATTTGACAAATTTTGTTGGGATTCATTATGACTTCATGCTGCTATAAAGCCAGAACTTTAATCAGAAGGTGAAGGGGTTTACCATCTCCTAACACATGCACTTTCACTTTCTGAAAGACAGCGAAGAGAGAGAGGAATGTTGTTTTCCTGCCTGTCTGTCCTTCAGCCACTATATAGTCTGTCTTAAACACAAACAGCACACACACTCATTAAACGGTCACATACTGTGTGTGTGTGTGTGCCTAGCTTAGTCTGGAAAAAGCAAAACTTTTCGTCTAACTACCACTTCTTTCCCCGTTTACGCGAATGATTAAATGACATTGAACAAGCTCTAAGCTTACTAATCTCCATTAATAGTATGAGTGAAGTCGACAGCTAAGCCATCACGAAACAGAGCAACAGTGGACTTTATTGTGACTCGCATGATTACCTCTTTCAAACGTGTGGCGGGTAAGCAACAAGTGAGTAGATCTATAGTTAACACTTGCAGGTGTGTGTGTGCGTGTGTGTGTGGCATTGCTAAATGAATTTCTTGCTCTGTCTAGCTTAGTCTGGATAAATTTTCGTCTTATATTTCGTTCTCTCTCCCTGTCACATAGAATCGAAGAGGGATTAGTGTCCTTTTTTTCATTCACTTCCTGTCTTCTCATTCACGAATGAATGAGTACTAAAAATGGAGGAGGAGGAGGGATAAAATCAAGTTGAATTAAACTAAAATAAATAGATATACGGAGAGAGGTTTCATTTTTTTCTCTCAACTCATTCACTTTTGCCTTCATTTTAACCTTTTCTCCCACCCACCCACCCCCTGGTGGTGACTTTTTTGCATTCATTCAAAGTCTGCTACTCTCTCTCTTTCCCTCTCTCTCATTAGGATGATGTCATCATCTCTTCCCTTTTCGTTGCGTGCCTTGAAATTTTACTCCCTACCCAATTGGTTGATAAGTAGGTTGGGGGAGGGGTTAATAGAGACTTTCATACTTTGCTGTTAAGTTTGACTTATTTAAAAGATGCTTTGAATGTCCTAGATGAGATAGAAAATTGCCTAGACGCTTGAACTTTTGAGGATTTTAATGTCAATGAAATTTGGAAGGAGGCCTGTGGGATGAATGTCATCGGAACTCTCAAACTGAAAAACGCACGTATAAAGGATAATGGTGCCCTCCTAGGGTAAGAAGATGCATTCACTGAACTGTGAACAGATAACGTACGGCACGTAGGAAATAATAGGACTATTAGTCAATCATTTCTTACTGCAAAGATCCGTATTTATATTACACGAAGCACAGGGGTTTGTTTGAAATTCCCATTCTACTTGTTGAATTATTCCGGACTCCCATAGAATTCACGGCATTGATCTGCTTATGCAAACTCGTTATGATACTCTGCCATCTTTACAATCGCACAACTGATTCACGAGCTTCATATTTTGTCGATTGACACGTTCTTGAGCACTCAAACTCTCATTGACCTTGGGGGGGGGCAGATTATTTTTCTTTCACCTTCTGTGTAGTTCTTGTGCTCCAGGGTTTGTTAATCTCGTGGATGAATAAATTATGCGGAAATATGGAGTCGAGTTCCAGTTAATACGAAGATAGTCTCTAGAGTGGAGCTGACTATGCATCAGTTTGCAAAGTACGAAATATTTAGCAATCTTTCCTTATCCCGTCAATAAGCATTGGCGATTTGCTTGTGGTGGCAATTTGCTTCCATTTGCAGTCCTATTATCGTGAAGCCAAGGAGTTTTTTCTAAGGAGGAGAGCCAGTCATTATGCGGGCCCTTTAATGATTAACATATCGCTTAGATATTAGTGACAGCACACCCATGATTATCTAAACTTATTACAATGCTGCTCCATCTACTACCACCACTCCACAGTGTGATGACTAAACATCGAATGTCAATCAGAAAGATGGCTTTTTTATTTGGATGTCACGAAACAGACACTGGGTTCTGCTTTTCCCTAAATAAGAGGTCATTATTGTGCTCATTATGAGGAGGAGTTAAGGAGATGACAAGGGGCGAGTACCGCTTCCCAACGGCCTGCAATGTACAAATCGTAATCTCTTCTCGGATGAAGATTTAAATAAATTTAAAATGCAAAGAAAGTTTGTGTTTGTGTTAGTTCTGCTGTTTCTATTTCATTTGAGGTGCGTTTATTTTTATTGTCTTGTAAAGACGTTGTGGGCATTCTCAATTGCAGACTCTCTCCTCATTGCCCATTCACTAATACTCTTCAATATCCTTGATAGCTTTTAAATTAAAAACTCTTTGCTTTGCCAATTCTCTTGCTTTTTTAGAGTATTCCATTTCCTTACTTTAGTGGAGCCTAATTACTAGTTTAGGTGTAATCAAATTCGGAAGTCTGTAGAAGCCTGTATGGCGTCTAGTCTCGATGGTATTGTATCGACGTATTGATATCTCAATCAATTATTATTGAACACTACTCGCATTAGCTAACATTCGGGAATCTTGGGGACTGTTTCTATTTAGGATTTTAGTTCCAGGTGGTGGCAACTCACCCTCTTAAGCAAAAATTCAGATTTATCTAGAAACCCAAAAGTGATATTCTGAGTTTTATTCTCTCAATTATCCATATTCCTCTTCTCTATTTTGTCTATGAGATTTTATCATGTTTGTTTGCCTTTTGTTTAAATGTTGTCGCAGTGATTTGAAGTTCAATTTATTACAGACTGTCTGATTCTATCGATTTCAGATAGCGCGCTATCAAGTCACTGTTCTAACCCATTTAACTCGCGATCACATTCTAACTCCTCTCCACTATTTCATCTTTTTATAACATCTATCCAGCGATTTGCTATAGTGACTTCATTAAATTTTCTATTTAAGGCTTTTCTTCTTGTGATGTGTATATTAATATGTCTCCCTATCTGCTTGTATTTCACTTCATACATACCTTTACTCCTGTGTTGTATTATATTTTCAATGCGTTCTTCGTGCTATTTAACTGTTTTTCGTATTGTTTTAATCTCTCTACCACTATTGGCAAAATTCAGTACACTACATATGCCATCACGATCGGTTCAATCTCTGGTATAATTCATAAGGTTGCAGTTATAATATTTTCTGTATTTTTTGTCTGATTTTTACTAGAGGACATGTTTTGGAATCCATTTGTTCTATTGCAGAAATTACCCTTTCTAGTCACAAACTGTGGGGGTGCCAATAAACTGCCTTAGATTTGTCACCGACATGCCACTCCCTCTTTGGTGTTCACATTAATCACCGCAAAAAGCGGGGGATATAGTTTAAGTCATTTGGGCTGTTAATGCCAGCTTAGGTAATATGATAATCACTAAGTGAGCCAGTAGAGCCCGGCTAATTAGGGTTGACTCAGATCCTTTTTCTCCAACCAGACGATGTCGCCGCTGCTGGCAGACGGCGGATGAGAGACAGGGAGTGTAGAGGAATACACTCTGAATCACTGCGTTTCCCAGTGAATGGCGAGATGGATGGCCGCCTGTCTGCATTACTGTTTTGCATACAGCCCTTTGCTCTCTCTCTCTCTCTCTCCCTTCCTTCCGTATGGAGAGTTGGTCTAGAATTTGCCCCTCCTATGCCCATTCTTCCCTTTTCAGCATCAATCTGTTAGTTTTTTGTCATAAGGAATGATGTGACTTGGGAGAGTGGCGTTTGCGTTCACATTCCTCAAATTGGTTTTCTAAAATTGCTCTATTTGTCTCTTTTCCATTAGATTTGCTTTGCTGAACAATATCTTCTAATTTCCCTTGGGGACTCCGTCTGTTACATCTATGTCTTGCCTCTCATTTGGCAAGATAGAGTTGCCTATTGCCTAGAGTACGGCATTTATGAACTTTTTTCTTCCAATTTGGGCTTTTTTGTTTGGCCGCACAAATGTGTGCTTTATTATTGGCCAAGCAATGATAATTTGGCAATTTTTTTATCATGGAGGTGTGAGGTGGAGTAAAGTAAAGATCGTATTCAAGTAAAGGCGGGAGTTACTTTTGTTTAGTTAGTAAGGTTCACTCTGTCTTATTCTGGTATTTCAAAGGCCATACTTTGGGAATGCCTTTAATTCCATGATGCTTAAGTCAATTAAACAGTTCCTTTCCATCCACCTCTTCCAATAGATGTTTTGCAAAACTCCTTCGTTTGCTGAAGGTGTTGAGTAGACGTTTTCTTGCTTCTCTCAGCCTTCTCATTTCACTTTACATCATTAGCCACGATTCGTTACAGTGAATGCATAGCATAAACAACACCAATTGCTGCAAATATCCACTTAAGCCAAACAGTTTGAACCTATTGAAATTCCTCTTTCCAGTTAGTATTTCTGCTTCCTTCTCTCTCTCTCTCCCTCTCTCACTTAGCCCCCCTATTTGACAGGTGCGCGCCCATCAACCCGCCATTCGATTAATTATAATGGATGTTTCCTTTCACCTCATCTCCACTCTCACTCACTTCCCCCTTTCTCTGGCTCTCTCTCTCGATAATACTCTACTCCTTCTAATGGAGATTTACAACCCCTATTAAGCACCAGCATGCATTCAGAGAATGCACTGAAAGTTGATTTGGTTGGTAAATATGGATAGAATGCAATTATAGTATTTTGCCACTACACCCCACACAGTTGCGCCGCACACACACACATTTAACTCCAAGGGTCGCATTGACCAGAGGTGGCATCATGATGCCTTCTGTCACCACTTTATTCGACAGATTAAACTGAGTGCGGTTCAGATATTCCACTCAGGATTCTTGTCATAAATTTTGTTGAGCTGGCATTAATTCTCATGCAGTCAATTGAATCTTTATCCTCTGTGGAGTGGTGGGAAATTCGTGATTTTCGTTGTTTTTGGTGTATTACTATTATTTTGGTGTTCGCATACGTTTTAATAATCTTAAATCTTTTCTTTGTGAACAATGAAGTTGGATCGGATTCAGTTGTCTTCGCTTCGCTAGTTTGAATACATCTTACAGCCGATGCTTACTTCTTACGATATTTATTTTGTAGGTGTGCTCTACTCTTCTTTTATTAAAATATGCTATTCCTGTCCGATTTAATGAAAACTTACAGTCCGCTTAAAACTACACCTCCTTTGCGCGAGAACGCGGGGGGTTCGACGTGAGGTTTGAATAAATCTGCAGTGTATGGGAAAACTGATGGTCAGAATAGAATATAGTTGTCAGTTCTGCATACACACACACACACACACACATTTCGGTATCGTGTGGATGACCAATACAGTGTTGCTCTCTATATCTCATTATGCCCATTCCCCTTTCCCGCATGTCCTCTATCTATGTCGCCTTCTTTCCTCTACTGTCTTTTATTCATCTCCCTCCTTTGTCCAAAAGGTCCCTTGTTCCAAATCTATGACGCATAGAGAGAGAGCCCATATGCCTTGTATATGGGTTAATGCCTAAAATTCGAAGATTCTGGTAATTAAATTCTCTTATCTTAGTGAAACGGAGCAAGGTCAGTATTGTATGTTAAAGCCTAAAAGTGCGGCCACACGAATGGAACTGAATATTTATTTATTTCAAATGGCAGGTGTTTTGATAACTATCATTAGCCATTTAGCTGACTTCGTGCTTTACAGAGGGAAGGCTCATCAAAGTAACAGAAAGTCGAGGGGAGGGAGAATAGGCGTGATTCACAGATGTAAAAGAGACAGACAGACGCAAAGGTAGAGAAAAGGTAAGATGAGTACTGTGGAAGTGGGCGAATATGACATGCAGTGGGGGTGATGGTAGTTTGAAGTGAGAAGTCAACTGCCGGTTAATAGACTTTTTACCGTATGAGTTTGCGTTGCCCAGGCTGCACCACGTGGAGGTAAGTCTATCGCACACCCCCAGGAACTGAATATAATAAGTGGTGTGTGAAGGATTTAAACATTTTTACTCTCTATTCGTCTCTTAGCGCGTTTCTTTAAATTATGTTGTAGCCTTTCTTGGCTACTTATTTGATCTTCATGAAAGAAGTTGGATTAAAGAATAGGAATAATAATGTATATGAGTCGCAAAGTTCGGATAATCTGAACTCCACATTAGTATTGGTTAGAAATGGACTGATTAATCTCTTGCGAAGAGGGTTTCTCATCTCTCCAACACACATGCGCACAGTCCGGGAAATGTCACTCTGCCCATGTGTCCATCTTTTTCCTCTCTCATGTGTGTCCTCAAATAAGGTCATCCTTCTTCCTGCTTACTCACTCTTCACTTCCCATCTGCCCGCTTTGTCCCACTTTCTAACGAATTGTCTTTCTAGGGAGATTAAAAATGGAATAGAGTATTTATTTTTTACCCTTGCATATCTTCACAAATGAAGGAAATGTTCTACAAAATTTCAGGTTTTTGAAATTATCTCATTATTAAGGTGGCACTTGGTAACCGCCATTCTTTCAACTAGAAGTACCTTGTCAAGCTTATCAGGCGATTCGGGTTTTAAATTCACCAATAGAAACCCTGAGAGCAAATGTGCGAGATGGGCGATCAAATCCCAATGAATAAGAAGGGTATTAGAAGGTTATTTTTCTCTTAAGGACTCCTATGTCATCCCTCTGGCAACAAACAACTGATCCCTATCGTTTCTTTCTCCATACCTCGTAGTACCTTTTCTGTTTTCAATTCTTGCCGCAAAATGGCAATTTCGCCTTTTCTCCTTTACTTCGTTTTTTTGAATTGACTTTTTTGCATTATCGAAATAGTTTTCCTCTCCACTTTAGACTTTTAATTAAGTTATTTAGAGCATTGGAAGAATCTGAGTTTGTAGGTGTTGAATTTCTACGAGCAAATGTTTACTAGATCTTAACAGCCCCTGATGTTTCCGAATTTAGGTGAGTAGTCATGTCCTAGTCATTCGGACTATGACTTAACGCAGTATGCAATCATCTTCATCTGGTTATTCCAGTGTACTTTGTTTCAGTCAATTTCTCCAGCGTTTCCTTCTACGGGCTTTGAATGTTTAAATGTGTTGGGCTTTATTCTGTAGACATCTTTCTAGTGATGGTAAATGCTATCGCACACCTTGCTTAAGAATCCCTTCGTAAGTCCTATTGGGAATGATTCGTATGCTGGTAGGGAGGACATTTCTTCTCGCAATTATTTTTCTCCATCCCATAAATATGTGTGTATATATGGTTTTCAATTTCCAAAATCAATCGCTATTTTTATATTGCACCTTCTATAGTTCGAGTCCCAATATTTCATTTTCATTCTATTTTATAGGAAGAGATGTTATTCTGCGATGACTGCGATCGAGGTTACCACATGTTTTGTCTTCGTCCTCCACTCACTCAGCCACCCGAGGGCTCGTGGAGTTGTGCTCTCTGTCTAGAACGTTTCAAGGAGGCTGCTGCTTCCAATGTGAACGCCTCCGCCAATTCAAATACTGTTGCCAAACCGCCCGCCTCCTAGCCTCCCCCCTCCCATTCCGAAATGTCCCTCCTTGTTCTCAGGAGCGCCCCTTTCCTAACAATACGGTGTCCCATGGCTCCGCTTTTACCCTCTTCACCCCCATTTTATAATCTCCTCAAATCTATAATCGATGTTTCCTCCTTTATGATAATTATGACGATGATTGCTAATTGGTTACTGGTTATGATGACGTGTGCCGATGTCCCCCAACAACACTCATTGTGTATAGCCCCTATCTAAGGTGCATTTTTTACTTGTAATAATACTGCTATCAATATATGGTGGTGATGTCTCTTGTCTCTTTGGTAGGAATCTTATCCATTCGCTATTTAAACTTAATGACTATGGGGAGTGGGATGATGATTTCCAGGCCTGCTTAACGATATTTTTTACAAAAATCTTAGGCTGTGGAGTAACGTCTCGAGATTCCTCTGTTGAGGAATATGAGCTCTTCTCTCAAGTCCCTAAATTGTTACTTCAAGCCCGATCGCTGTCCGCTACAACATTTTTTTATTTATATCAATTGGCAGGCGTTTTGATAGCTATCATTAGTCCTTTAGTTGACTTCAGTCTTCACAGAGAGGAAGGAACATCAGAGTGAAAAAAGTCGAGAGTGGGGGGTGGAGTAGAAGAGTGTTTTAAAGATACAAAGACAGAGAGACAAAGGTAGAAAAAAGGTGAGGCGAGTAATGTGGAAGTGGTCGAATACGACATACAGTGGGGTCATGG